CTCATGTACATTATATTCCCTTATATATAGGGCTCAAGTGAATGAATAAGAAGAGGGTTTTTGACGGCGTATCTCTTCTCTCTTATTCTCTTCTTCTTCTACTTTTACTATCTTTGTCTATTTTACATAGATTTTACATATTGTCAATCTATATTACAACACCTTGCAATTATATTTCCAACCCTCAGCCTCCTTAATTATTTGAGTGAGGACCCAAAGTAATTAAGTACCGAATTAAACCAATTCGTGATTTGGGCCATGGTCCAGTTTGCACCATAATTAAAGCAGTATTGGGCCATTGCGATAATTAATCCCATTTTGTCCAATGTTTTAGCCTCCACAAAATACTCCAAATCACTGAAAAATAAATATAAAAATACCAATGTGTATGAATCCATCCAAATAATAAATAAGTTGAAAAATATAAACGTGCGAATAAATTAAGTGTATAAAAATACACTATTAAACATATAAAATAAGCACATTTTCCAATCTATCACGACCCGGGGAACGAATCTTTCGATTCTACTCCGGAAAATATTTACAACAATGTACATAATTATGAGAAATATTCAAAACAACATAAACAATAATTAACCCAAAACCAACAAATTTGCTCATTTGTCAATTTCGTCATTAAAAAAACAAAAAACTAATAAACTAAACATAAACTACAAATAAACATCCAATAAACATTGAAACAGACCGTGAAAACCTTCTAATATATCAAACATAAATTATGAATAACATTAAATAAACAATGAAATAGATCTTATCAGAAGTATTCGTTTGTCGCCGCTGCTCGGAAGCAAACTGTCGTAAGGTCATTGAGATCGTGCGACGGGAACATATATAAAAAATATATTGTAAATAAACACAACACATATTTTCGACATTGTAGGGTTGTTGAGATTGTGTAAGATTATTTCTTCTTTTCTTATTTTTTTGTTTCAACCTCTGCTCGTCAATGTCGTCTATGCTCATATCTTCAACTTCGTCACTCCCAGTTGGATAGTCGTCTTCAACGATAAAATTTTGGTCCTCTATGGCGTCTTCTTTGGACAATTTGGAGTTCTTTAATTTTGGCCGTCTCTAGGTCTTATTTTGTTGAATTTCGCCTTAGTCGGACTGAAAATCGTTGATTTTACTATGAATTTTACCTGTATTCTTGCCGTAACCCTAAATTTCAATTTCTTCTCGAAATTTATTATTATTATTATTTTTCAGAACCATGTTTTTAACGAAGAAGAAGAAGAAGAAGAGGGAGGGATGAGAGAGAAAGAGAGTTAATGCAAGCCCATAGAAACTGGAAACCAATTTCAATCCATAAATCACGCATAATCTGGCTCCTTCCTTAATTAAAAGATAAGTTGACTCAAATTTAAAATCTAGTATATGTGCAAAGATGTTGGGGTGATTTTTTATCTTTGAAAAAAATATCATTTCGGTGTAAATATGTATTATAAAATATGTTTGATGGTGTGGGGGTGCAAATTACTCTAAATTATATCCAAAGTGAAGTAAAAATGGGTTGTTTGAGATACTAAATAGTACATGTAAGTTGTACTTGGCCTTACTAATCTCTTACGCCCATAAGTTCATATCATGTCCTCAAGGCCGAAGTTAAAAAATTCGACTTATTCACTCCAAGACGCGTCCTCTGTCAACAAGTCTTGAGGGGGCATTTGTAGACAAATAAATTTTGAGCCAATTAAGTGATGACAAGTGTCAAATTTCATGTTAAAAATTAATTTAATAATTTTCTATTTTATATAGAAAATTTATTAAATTTTAATTCCTAAATTAAAATAGATAATTAATTAATTATTTAGTATATATTATTGGCCAACTAAAGAATGCTACATGTATATTTTGAAGGCCAATTAAAGAGTATCACATAATATATTTTGAAGGTCAATTAAAGAAAGCCACATGTTATTTTTTAGAGTGTAAAATAAATAATTATTTATTTTAATAATTATTAAAGAGATAAATATCAAGACTCCATCTTCTAATTACCTCTTTAAATGATTACTAAAGAGATGAATATTGAAAATTATGGGTCAATCAAATTGAAATCTTCTTTTCCAAGATTTTTTCTTCTAACACCTATAAATAGGAGTTCTCCCTAAGGTCAAAAATCAAAATTCATATTCAAGTTCCGACAATTCATATTCAAGTTTAAACAATTCATATTCATGGCCAAGAGCTCAAGAGGATTCTCTGGACGTGATTCAAGTGTTCTTGAAGATTCGAAGGAAAATCCAAGAGCGTTAAAGCTCAAGACCGACGTTCAATCCAGAAACAAGCTGTCAAGCCTCCAAATTACCTCATTAAAGTCAAGACCGACGTAGAGAAGATGCACGATCAACTTTGCGGCGAAGATCAAGGACTCATGTTCTTCTCGTTCTAGAAAAATTGCAGCATTCAATTTGAGATCAAGTTGTCAAGCCCTCGGAGAAATGTTATTTAAAATCAAAGTTAAGACCGGCGGAGATCAAACTGAAGATTTGTCTCCAAAAGTCTAAAATCAATTTGAAGATCGTTCTTGAAGAAATTAATCAGAGGAATAATAGAGTTTGGTAATCCACTATATTTCATTTGATCTGTTGAAAATTAATTTGTACTAACTTCTCGTATTTATTAATTCAATACTACTAAATTTGGGTTACAACAGGTAGAAAGGAAAACCAACAATTATTTTGGAAGTTGTTGCATCATAAAACTTATGGATATGACATGTGTTTTTTGGAACACCGGGTTCATGCAATGATATTAATGTATTTCACCATACTTCTATTTTTTATGATATTTTGGAAGGTCGTGCACCAGAAATCAAGTACGTCGTGAATGGTCACCAAAGTACTACGAAATATTACGTCACTGGTGGTATTTATCCTTCATGGGAAGCATTTGTTAAATCAATTAATTCTCTGCAACTTCGAAAGTACAGTTTGTTTGCTCAACACCAAGAGATACAAAAGATGTTGAGTGCGCATGTGGAATCCAACAAGCTTGTTTTGCATTTATCAAAAAACCATATCTAATATGTGATCATTTTTTTTTGGGAAGAATTATGATGACTTGTATCATAAAGCAGAATATGATAGTAGAAGATGAACGAAACCCCTACTTGAACTACCACGATCCCTAAGAATTTATGAAAGATAGGCCTATACACGAAAAGGGCAACAACGGAAAAATTGAAGAAATGGATTAGAAGAAGAGGATGATGATATGTCTTTTCAATACTCTACTGAAAAAATCACAAACTTATTCACATATATGACTAATAGGTCATAATTTCGTAATAGAGAAGCCCATGTAACTCTAAAAAACGACTTGATTGAGCACATATAAAAAAAAAAAATAAAAATAAAAAATAAAATAAAATAAAATTGGTAATGATAATTGACGTGTGATTTCATTCCAAGTGTTAGTAATTTGTTTAATTAATTTTAATATTTTTTTCCAACTTTGTAATTTATCTTTAATTGGATTAGTATTTTTTTAATATGGTAAAATATTAATTTTTTGGAAATCATAACGACTATAAATATAATTTTTTAATTAATTTGTCACAACTAAATTAATAACAAAAACAATTGTGGATAATATTTAATAAATAAATAAATAAAATTGGGACACTAATAAACATAGTTGGGTTGGATACTTTTTTTTTTGTACAGGGACCTTCCGGTTTCTGGATCCACATAGGAACCGACTAATCCGAAATCGAGCCGGGTAGGACAACAAGGGTGGCAAAGCTCTCCCTCAAGAGTTTTAACACTGCTGCATTCTCAGGGCTCAAACACGAGAGTTGGGTTGAATTCTACTTGTGTATATATGCGTGTTGGGACACTAATAAACATAGTTGGGACACTAATATCCATATATGCGTGTGCTATTATGGGATTATGTATGTCTTAGTTTTTGTTGAATTCTACTTGTGTATATATATAATTGTTTGCTTTTAAGAATTTATTATGTGATGAAGCCCAGGGCTTACGAGCGGAGTGACGAACTACAATAAATCCTGAATATTGGGTCCTCTGTTGGTGATCTCAACGTGTTTGAAAAAATGCATGAACCGAATTTTGCTGCTGAACGTGTTTGAAACAAAGCCTGAATTGCACTTCGATGCTTTAAGGGGTGATTGTTTATCATCTCAACTAAAAAAAATCAATCAAATTTCAAATTTAACTCAACTTTAATATAACTCCACAATCTCAAATATTATCAATAATAATTAAATAATATCAACCAATCATTCTTACACGTCACATCAACTTTAATTCACTATTCACCCACTCACATAATTTTAACTAACCATCACTTCTAATCATGTTTCTCTAACTTTTCATCATGTCAATTTTAATTATTTTATTTTAAATATTATTTTAATATATCCACTACCACTTAACTATACCAACTTTTTTCAAACTTAACTCTAGTTAAAAACACACTAATAAAAAACTAGTCAAATGCATAAACAATTACAACCTTAGTAATTTTCTTTTTTCTTTTCCACTTGGCGTGGCTCGCTTTGGTAGCTATTTGACGGCCACATCAGCTTTGTTGGAAGGAATTGTTAACGGTGTTAGATCTATGAGTCTTGAATTGATAGTTTTGATGCATAATAAGCCTCATATTGATAAAATTTATCTTTCAAGCTCTGAATTGATAATTATCCTTGTACGGATAAAACCCCATTATTATATTATTCATCAAGCTTGTTACAGATATCATAAGAACTTAAGAAAAACGACACCAAGCAAAAAGGGCATGCACCAATCATTCTAACCAACATAAACAATCACATTCATAACACAAACAAGAAAACACAAATTTCAACAAATTCACAAGCCACTCCAGCCGAGCGAGTCTATTAATCGAATCCTGAAAAAAAAGAGAAACACAACACAAACAGGGCAGGGCTCAGAGAAGGCCCCTCCTTCTCTTATAATCACTGACGGTCAGTGTCAGCGCATGCCTCCTCCCGTCGTTCTCCGGCACCTTCACCCCATATATAGCCTCAATCCTCTGCTTCCTGGCCATGTACCCCGCCTGGGCCCCCTGAGGCCCGCCAAACTTCTGCAGCGCCGCCAGCGAGATGGGCAGCTCGAAATTGTGAAGCAGGTTCGACTCGGTCCCGTGATCCACCGGTGCATTCGTGTCCACCAGCTTCCCCGCACCGGCAGCAGCCTCCAGAGCCGCCTCAGTTGCCGCCATTCCCACCTCTGCCGAAATCCTAACCCCACCACCACTGCCGCCACTGGCGGCCGTGGCCACGACCCCAGCCGCTGCATCCCCTCCTCCACCGCCGCCGCCGTTGGCCACGTAATAGTTCCTCGACCGGGTCCACCTCCTCGAAAACGGGTCGTACCCGGCCTCACCCGCCTTCAGGCCCGTGTTGACGGGCTTCAGCCCCGATGCATTCCTGAAGTTCTCGACCCGGTTCTTCCGGTTCATTTCCGCCAGCTTCACCGCCTTGGAGTCCTTCTCCTGCGTCCGCCGGTGCAACTCGAGCTCCCGCAGCCTCTCGTTGATCCTCCGCACCTCGGCTTCGTCCTCGTTCTCCCTCGCGATCTCCAGTGCACGCCTCAGCCGGTCCTTCTCGGCGGCTATGTTCAGTGGCCGCCACGTGGCCGACTTCTTCTCCTGCAGCATCTGCTTCACGGTGGCAGCCGAGTACACAAACGTGCTCGTCTTCTGTATGGCGTCCCTCTTCTCGAGCACCTCCTGCCTCGTGGGCAAGTGGCCCCCATTGCGTTCAACCTCCCGGACCCACTGATCGAACTCCTCCCTCAAGGGCGGCGAGTCCGA